CCACGAGGAGGAGGAGGAGGAGGAGGAGACACAGTCAGAAGATCCTCGATTTCTGCGAACACCTACCCCTGAGCCTGAGATCTCATTCAGCTGTTTGAACGGGTGATTATCAATGGGATAAAGGAGCCTATAAAGATCAAGTTACGGAATGTCACAACAAATGATATGACTGTCAGCTTCTATCGTATCCAATATCTCCCTCAACTCCTTCTTCATCTAATATTGTGTCTCCAAGTGAGATAATCAATGTGATGGTGATGAAATATATGATGGAAGGAATGGGAGGCATGGGAGGACTGAATTCAAACTTGTCATCGAATTCAAACTTGCCATCAAATTCAAACTTGCCATCGAATCCGAACCTGCCATCGAATCCGAACCTGCCATCGAATCCGAACCTGCCATTGAATCCGAACCTGCCATCGAATCCGAACCTGCCTCCTATTCGAAGTAGTCCAATCCCTCAGTTTGGTGAACACGCGGATCTGTTTATTGATGAGTTCTTCAACTGGTTGATGACAGAGAGACCTCGAAGAGCAGAAGCTCTTTTAACTGCAAAGAGCATTATTCAGAATGAAGGATTTGAACTGGATCATATACGGACAATGACAAATGAGCAGGTGGTTCAGTTGAATATTGGAATGGGTATATTCTCGATAATAAGAAATGGGTTAAAGAGTTCTATCTGGCAGTCACAGTTGAAGGAGATTAAATTGTCTTTATCTGCTGTTTGTAATGATGACAGCAGACTTCATACTGCTTCTGCTTCTGAATTTGAAACTTAGATATTATATATCATCATAATTGAATTGTAATCTGAATCTTTTTAAATTTTACAATACTATCCTATATGAGCCGATCTGAAATATCCTCTTGCATCTTCTTCTCCCATGAAATTCTCAACTGCATGATGCAAGAAGGCTTCAAAATCTCCATCAAACTGATTCTCTAACTGACATCTGTATCTTCTAATCCATTCTTTCAACGCGTGAAATGACTCCTCTATAGGATTATAATCAGGAGAATATGGAGGTAAGAATAAAAGTCCAATGCCAGCTTCTCTGCAGAGATCTCGCAGTGCTTGTGAACGATGAGAAGAGCAATTATCCATCACTAAGTAGTGATAACCTCGTTGGCATTGGGCAGTATCCGGACACGTACAACTCATTGAACTCCTCTGTATTATAGGACCCCTGA